TCGTAGTTAGTGTTTCTCAATATCCCCTAACCTTACTGAAAGTACGTTGGTCATGTTACCTATTTAATTCCTACTTGTTCTTTAACTTATTGTACTACTTAGTTTAAAACCAGAAATGCAATCTTATTTTATTTTTTTTTGAATGAATAAAAGTTTATTGTCATACTAATCATATGTTCATCAATGTTCATTTAATGAAAAAAATAGTGTCAATTTCTGAATTACTGATGTTTCTTCTCTTATTCCTATTTTGTGTACTTTACTTTGTTGACATTTTTATAATTAAATCTAAGAAAGCTTGTAATTTTTATACTTGACATCAGATGTGGGGTACGAGACACTGTATGGCTTACGTGGCCAGCTGGCAAGGGATGGCTGCGCAGATTCTCAGTTAGTCATTGCAAAGGACTTACTTCAGGATCAATCAGGTATATTGACTGTTTTTATTTTTTTTACAAATAGATCCACAACATGCATATATCTGTATTAAAGTAAAATGTATTTTTAAATATATATGTATAAAGAGGATGATTTTTTAAAGGTGATGCTGATGAAAATGCAAGACAGGGAGTGTACTGGCTTATTAGAGCTTCTGAACAAGGCAATGAAGAAGCTACGCACACCTTGCAGCAATGCCTAGAAAGAGGAAAAGGTTCTTACAGGGTTTTTCTTTTTCGTTTTTTATGTTTTTATAAATATTTGACCACATTTATCAAGTTTCTTTTCTTTCTCTTTCAAAGGTATCACAGAATTGAATTTTCTTGATGTAAAAGCTTGCTTAAGCATGACGCAGATAGAAAAATTAGCAAGAAGAGCAGCTCGAAAGTTGTTTGAAAGGTATGCTATTGTTAGTCGCTGTACAGAAATGTACTATTAAGTCATATTTTTTGTATTCAAGTCAATCATAGTATTGATTACATTCTTGTTATCTTCCAGGTTGTCTGCAGGTGAAGATTACATTACTAGTGAACAGTTAATTCGTGAAATTCAGCGAGTTAAGCGTGCTATCGGAATTTCCACTGGCAACCATCAATGGTCTTTTAATCACATTACTCTTGGAGGATTGGTGAATCGTGAGAACAGATCTTTAGAAGGAATTGCTAGTGATAACAAACAGACAAATGGAATCAATGGCTCTCCTCGTGACCACATCAATCACAATCACATCAGTGATGAAGATGACAAACCAAAAATACAACCACAACCAGAAGGTTAATTAAAATCCACATTTTATAGAAATGCTTAAAATTAGTTCAGAAAAATAGAAGAAAAAAGTAAAAAAAATATTTTTTTAATTTTTACCAACAGATTGGGTTGGGAGAACAGACCCGCCTGGAGAGAAATTGTCTGAAGAACATCTGGTATCTGCTGCAGTAACATATGCTCAAGGAGAACTGCCTCTAGTTCAAAAAATTTTAGATTTGCAAAGACCTGCACCAGCTCTTTCCTTTAATCCTCTAAATATTATTGCTCATATGTATCTGTTTGTTACTGCTGCTGTTGGCAGTCGAACATCTCTGATTAGCAGGCCATTAATTACAACATCGGTTCAGGTACAAGCTGCCACCATGTTTATCGTATTCTAAGCTTTTTACGTATTTTTTATCTGAAGGAAAGAAAGAAAGATGACATTTTCTGTTTGATTTCAGATTAGCATTGCTCTAATAATTTACTCTTTAATTGAATCAGTCAATTGGAGTACTGTTATCCCAATCGCAGTGTATCACGGATCCTTTATGGCAATGATAATTTTTACATTTCAGGTATGTAAGCAGCTGCACATTCTCTACCATACATCTGCCCAATGCGATCCAATTTTGCATTTTTTAAATTTTCATTTTGTTTCAGATGTTACACCACCGTCATGAGTTTCAGCACTTTAGAGCTTGGTCTGGTTTATTTCTACGCTACAGTGAAGGTAGCCTCAACCCTGACGAAGCAGAATACCAGTATTGTAAAAACAACTTAAAACCATATGCTCACTTTTTTTTTGCCCTTATTCTGAATTTGACCGTAAGTTTACATTACCATTAAGATTATTATTAATGTTTTCTTGTAAGTTATTCATGTATGCTAATCTATACATATACAATGTTTTTAATTTTTTGGCCTTTTTCTCACTGTAGATGTATCCTCTTCTGGCTCCTCATTGGACTCCACACAGTGAATTAACTGTGCTGTCTTCAAGTTTCATGTTTCTATCCCTCTATGCGTTTTTGAATTCTGTACCGCGACCAATAGAGCAACGCCGTACGATCAACTTCGAATTTCCTAGGAAGCAGCCTGATATTTTAGTATTGTTTTCATTTGCTGTAAATGTGCTTGCTAAATATCCCTATGACTTGGATACGGTGGTTCTTCAAAGCTGGAGATTTTTGGATGTAAAGGTGTGTTATAGTATGTTTTTAAGTCTACTCTTAGTTTAACAGCTTCACATATTTTGTTAAAAATAGTATTTCTATATCCCCAGATTCCAACTTTTCCATCGTATGTCATAGGACATGGTATTGAGTTCTGTTTAAACTTTCGAGCGGTGTTTTACCTCTTGATGCCAGCAGTCTTCTTCAAGATCGCGGCTCGAGACCATTGGCGAGGAACTTACAGAACTTTAATCCCACATTGTGTAACTCTTGCTTGGTGGCAGATTGCTGTTTTGACAGCTCAAGGAAGTACATGGTATGGCATTGCTCTTATCTAAGCACAACATTTTGGAGCACAGAACTGCTTAAGAATTAACAGTTCTCTTTATGCTGTGTTGTTGTATTCTCTCTCTCTCTCTTTTTAAATATTTAGGTATGGACTTGTGAGGGCTGCTCTTGCTCTTGTTGGGCTTGTATTTTTCCTGCCTCTTGCTGGACTTGCTTCTCTCCTCTTACCAATTGCTGCAGCAATTCGAATGCTGTATCTATCAGCTGGAAGAGAAATGCTGCAAGTAGCTGGAACCTTACTGGCTGCATCACCTTTACTCATTTTATTCTGGTTGCGTGGTCGTTTTAGTCCAGAAGGATCTCGTTCAGCAAAAATTGCTAAAATTGCAGCAATGTTGCAGGTCTGTGGTAAAGAATTGTATTTCATGCTGTTTTTTCTTCAAAAGGTCTATACCTAATGTACAATTTTATTTTTAGTTGGTTCTGGCTGTAGGAGCAACAGTTCTTCTCCTTACACCATTTTTTATCTCTATGGATGCTGACCATATCCATCATGGACATCCGGTCACTGGTTCAGACAATCATGTCATGGGGCATGACAATAGAGAAGTGAATGATTTTGTACTGACATGGGAACAGTATGAGTCTATGTGCCATAAGCCAGCTTGGGAACAAAGTACTGTTGCTTATGTACAACAGTTATGTTCACCTTTGGAAGGTGAGTGCCAATACAAAAAAAGACTGTAGGTAATTTATTAGTATTTTTATTAGATGATTTGCGTTTGCAGGACTTCGAGTGAAATGGGATGGCTATGTGTCCAATACAAAAATAACCAGGGTTCGCAATCCTTGGCTAGAAATAGTAAAGAGACTTCCTCAAGGATTGGGATCAGTATTTGCCTGTGCGATTGGAAGTCTCAATGAGCGAAAATCCCATGAGGAGATGTGCAGCTCTTCTCTCTATCCTTCAGCATCTGACCAGCAGCATTGCAAAAAAATCAGGCAGCTATCAAGCCACACTGACAGATGCTCTTTAATCGACTGGAACAGGTATAGTTAAATTACTTTGGTTGATACCGTGTTAATTTTTCCTCTTCCTGAGATTTTTTTTTTTCCAGCTATGATTTTGAAGTGGCTATTAAAATGAAGAATGTTTTGTGGGGAAAATCATCAGTAGATGCCTTCTTACTAGCTGATAATCAGTTCCGCAATATGACATTTCATCTTCGCCCAGGAGATCACATATGGTTTAGTGGAACAATCACTCGCATTGAAACAGACAATGGTCCAGAACCGCGCATTGATCTAGAAACAATGGGCTGCCTTCAATGTGACAGAGGTCCTGTTTTACTGTGGGAAAAGTCCCATCAAAACTTTTCATTAACTTCACTCACTAGCTACTTTTATATCTGTGTAAGATTTGTCCTGAACTGTTTATTTAATCCAATTGTTATATTCAAATGAAAAGGTTGAATTGTCAAAGGCATTCATATCTCAACAACCAACAAATGTATGCAACTTGACATTGTTTATTTTTTACTTCAAAAATTGAAGACTGGATGTATTTTGCATTCTCTGTGATATATTGCAATATGGTATTACAATTTCTTCTAAACTAAACTTAAATAATTATAGTATTAGTTCACCTAATTGGTTAAAGTTACTGATCAAAAGAACTTGCGTACATTATAAGAGGTTCTAAAACGAATGTTAACACCTGAGAGATTTAATTTTAAATATAAGCCCAAAGACATTACCAAACTTTTTACACTTAATTAATATTTTTATGGAATTGTGTTCAGATGACTTTCTGGAAGTTTTTTTATTTATCTTGCCTTTTTATCTATTAATTATTTTTATTGATGTGTTTGAACTCTCGACGTATTATTATTTACTTGCCTGGTGCAACAGATATGAGATGTATGCATAATTCTAAGTAACTACAATTACGTTTTTTTAATGTTTCTTGCCATCATGGAGTTTGATGTAAGGTGTTCCTCTGCTAACATGAGCCCGAATCCTGTATCATAAATGAAAGCAGGGTTTAGACTGGAAGGTTCACCATGAGAGTGACAATATAGGGCTCTCTGATCTAGGACTGATGTGGTGGATTCTAAATCGGTGTACATGTAACAAATATAAATTTTTATTAGCAGTTATGGTTTGAAATGATTTCCTTTCCCAAACTTCCCTGTCTTGAACAAACGAAATTTTGGAAACTCCGCGCACCGCGGCTTCACGTAAACAGTAGGCATTGACAAACCCAATGACAATACATCTAAAAAATGATACATCTTTAACTGCAGTTTCAGGAGCGAAAACTTCTAAATATTGCTTCAAGTCAAATAAAGCGTTGACTCTCACCATCTAGACTCTAAAATATATTGATCATTTCTGCCAGATATATGTATTGGTTGTTTTAAACAGTTGGTATTTCATAGCAGAAGCACAAACTGCCACCATCACAAACCGAAACAAAAATGATGTTATGAATCAATCAAAATACAGTCAGCGTCATTTTGGATTCATAGCTGGTGTTTTTAATTTCAAAAATGTTTTCTCCATCTTCATCATTACATTAAAACATGAAGCTGTTTCTACGGACGATTTTTTGTAAAGTTCTCTGTTTGTGTTTAGTTTGCTTGTGAAAGGGCATTGAGAGTATGGAATGGCGTGAGCCTAAAGGCAGCCGATGGATCGTCTTCGTTGCATTTAGACTAAAGTTGATGATTGCAATGTTTTGAAATTATTGGAAATACTTCGTGACTATTGAGACATCAGCATTGTGCAGGTGACAATGTCGTCTTCAGAACTCAGACCTCTTCTTTTCTTGAGCTGCGTATGGGTTTTAATCGCAGCGGCGAATGGTGAGTAGGCAGGTGTAGGCTAAGTTTATTATTATCGTCAATGTACACAAACAACGTTGTTTTGTTTCATTCGGCTATTATATCTCTACCTTCATCTCGTTCCAAACTCGGGGCAATTATTTTGACGCGTCCATGGTCCCAATCAATATTCATTATATTACATTTAGGTTATGGCGATTTCTTTGAGTGGCTCTTTCCCATTGTTTATTTTGGTCATGACCCTTTTATTACCAGTGTTGTTTCATTCCACTGGCATTTTTAACTCTCATCGTTGATGTGCTTCCTACTTAATCATCTCATTCATAATCATTTATCAGTACAGGGTTTGTGTTTTAAATTTTTATTGGCTTGTCCCAATTTTCCATCAACTCCCTACGGCTTCTAAAACGCAGTGCCTCTGTGTTCCTTGTTTCACCTGCAGATTTTCCAGAATTCTTTTAATTAAATTTCAATTTGTTTGATATCTCACAGGTCTTCTGTGCTACTGTGAAGTTTGCCCAAATTCAACATGCTCAACAGATGGATACTGCTTCTCATCCAAATCCTACCAAAAGGATACTGGCAAAATCATTGAAGCAAACAGGTATGCTTTTTACATGATGTCTGATACAAATTCTGTACATAATGAACTATGCCAGTATTTTTCTATAATTTCTCTCAAATAGCCACAACAAACCTGGAATTTTTATTTTGGATTGACAGCATTGTCTACTGCTATGCTTTTTGTGTTGCTTTAATTGTTTCTGTAGCTTGAATAGAATTAATGGTCTACAGGGCACCTTCCTGGACCCTACCAGCATTCCAGTATTGACGATTCTAGAGGCTTACTTATATGCACCAACGATTTTGATGCTTACTTTTTATGTTCTTCTTTATTTTCTAGGATGAAGAAACCATTTTGCTCTTTTTGTGTTATCTTTATTTACAGGATGGTTAGAATTAAGACTTCTTCATGTTTGAGTTTTTTGTAACATCACCCACAGCGTCTATTATGACCACTATAGATTTGAATTTATCTAAAAATAGGTGCCTCGGTAGAACAAATTTTTTCCCACCGGAATATTCAAGGTGGTGTATTCGTCAACCTGTAGGAGTGTCAGCACTCTGTTGTAACTCAAAAGATTTTTGCAACAGAGAGTTAAAACCTATTCTGAGCACACTAGCTCCTCCATTGTTTGGATCAGGTAAGGTGTTTTAGATCTATTTGTTGGTTTGTCATTACTAGTACTCATCCTAACAGTTTTCTGAGTTTGCTGAGTTGTTACTGACTTTCAGGATAGATGTGCACCTGACGTGATTACGAGCATGACTGACGTGGAATGCCTCTTTATGTGTGTAACTCCGATTTTTCAAAGTTGAGGAATAAGGCTTCATATTAAGTGTCAATAAGTTGTGTTTTAAATTATGTCTGCCTAAGCTATGATTTGGTTGTGTACTAATATTTTTTTTGATTCTCCATTTCAGTCAGGCCATTTTCTAATGTAACTAGCCTAAGGATCTACTGACATGTCATTCGAGCATAATCTGACAGCAGTTTTACAAAAATGTTATTTTTCAGTGTCTGGTGCAATTTCCTCTACTTTAAAAAATTAATTTGTGTGCGCCATTTGTGTTTTTCCCAGCCACATGCGCAGCTCTGAACCCACTAAATTCAATTCCTTCCTGTCATTTCTGTTATTTTTAAAAATAATATTGCGGAGAATTTAAGTCTAATTTTGATGTTTTTGTTTCTATCCTTAACTTTTGAAGTTCCTTTTTGGGATGTAAATTTTGTTTCTCTTGGATTTCACCATAGAATATTTTTTCTCTCCTTTCTTTCAAAAAGAACAGGAAAGAGTAAAGCATGGGGTCTGCTTTATGTTTTAGGTAATCTGAAATAGTCGGGGAGGAGAGAAGTAGGGATGTTACAGGTAAAGTCCGGGTGTCAGGGAATGTCTGGATTCCGTAGTGAGGGTCCGGATACCCTGGCCCCGGTAGGGAATGTCCATTTGGGACGACTGAAACCGGGCATTCACTTGGCAATGCTAGCCATGTTGGACATTCACTGAAGGCAGTCAGGGAATGTTCAAAATCAGACTTTAACTTAGGGGGGTGGCCGGAAATGTTGGGAATGAAAGTTCAGGTACTATGATGGGTGTGGGTCAAGAAGAAGTACAAAAACCCATTCTCTCAGGGGCTTTGCTGGGGAAGCCACTTCTCTGGGGGGCAGGGCTTGTTAAGCGCAACTGCACCGCAAGCAGGTGCCGAGCGGGCACAAGGTGCACCTGCAGAAAGAACAACCATCTCTGTGGGTCTAAGTGCCAACAAGGCAAACCCAGCTGCCTCAACAACCCTTGACCCACACCCATAATACCTGAACTTTCATTCCCAACATTTCTGGCCACCCCCCTCAGTTAAAGTCCGATTTTGAACATTTCCTGACTGCCTTCAGTGAATGTCCAACATGGCTAGCATTGTCTAGTGAATGCCCGGTTTCAGTCGTCCCAAACGGACATTCCCTACCGGGGCGAGGGAATCCGGACTCTCACTAGGAAATCCGGACATTCCCTGACACCCGGACTTTACCTGTAACAGGGATATATTTTATGCTTTAATAATTCCCATTTTTCTTCAAACTTTTCATGTTAGTTGATTTAACTAACAATGTAATGATGTTTTGGAAAATATTTTCCTTACTCCCGAACCTACCCTGCATGTTGCGCATTGCCTATTTTTATGCAACATATTTCCTTTCCAAAATAATTAAAAGCCTTAAAAGCCTTTCCGCAATAGTGTGTGTGTGTGTTTGGGTGTTGCTAATAATGTTTGGTGTGTTGTGTGTGTTTTATTATCCAGGTGCCTGGACAAAATGCAGGTGGCTCCTGCTGATAACCCCCTCCTTTGCCATTATGCCAACACACATAGAAGTACACATGGTATAAAGTGTTGCAAGGAGTACGACTACTGTAATAAAAATTTGACTATTCCTATTGAAATTAAAAAGGATGAAGGTAGGTTGTCATACTTTATCTAAAGAGTAAAGAAAAAGTTAGTCTCCTGTGTGCTTTCATGGTTCTTTGTTAATACTCTTCTTTGCCTATTCTTGTTATGTGTCACAAGTCACAAGTATATTAAAAATACATGTTTAGAACACGAATGCTGCTATTAGAACCTTATATATGTTGTAGCACCTTGCATTTTAAATTATTTGTTAGATTTAGGAGTAGGCTGCATTTTGAAGGTACATGTTTACTGCTGTACTCTTGACTTACTTATAAGCAGAGAGTGTCATATTGTAAAGTTCTAACAGGTGACGGTTTCGCTAAGACTTTGCATGCTCCTGCATGTCACTTAATTTGCATAAGTCTCAACAATGGCTTTATACACTTTATCTCTATTTTCTCTTACAGACACTGTATTCCTTGTCTTGACAATTTAGCACTACCTTTATATTGTGTGATACTGTTCTTTATGTGTGATATTTCTTCTGTTTCCTTTTATCTTTCACCTCTTTGTGGATTAATTCCGATTTATTTTGTTGTCACTTGGTGTATCACTATGTTATATTTCAAAGAATTAATTTTTATAATGTTTCTGATTTTACAAGAAATTTGAAACTTAGCTCTTTGTATTTCAATTTTACACCTTATCTTTCTGTAGCACTTTTGCTTATTCTACAACCCTATTGCATTTTTTCTTCCTGCTTCAATGCACTGTAATATCTCATTTTGGCTTCTAATTTACTTTTACTATTTGCTCTTAATCTTGTTTTAATATAATGTTTATGAAAACTAAGTACGTTTCTGAAAGACCATAGCATGTAATGCACCCAAGCCTCCAATATAATAACATGTTCCTCATTTTAAAAAATGATCAGTTAGGAGGTGAAGGTAAAAGTAATCCACAACCCCTGGGTTGTGTTCAATTTTGTTTTGTTGGGCCTGCAGGTGCTATGATAAGGCCAATCATTTCCCTGTCAACGAATCCACCTGGAATTTTTGTATGACTTCGGGGTCTGAAGAAATTGGAAAAGAGTCACGTCTTTATAGGTGCTGCAACGATTTTGATTATTGCAACCGGAAAGGTGAGATAGACTAAAGCAAATGAATAAAAGCAATTCATTTACATAATGGGATGAAGAAAAAAAAGCTTTTTGTGAGTGTTGGGGCAAGGCGAATTCTCGCTTAAGGGCGTTGTTTTCAGGAGGAATCATTACTAGATTACTGATGGAAGATGTCTTTGAGGGATCATTACATTTTTAAGTATAGGTTTTAAATTACTTATTTATTTACATCTTGCACCCCTTGACCACACTCCTTTTGCAATTTACAAGTAGGGTAGTCTGTACAATTAGGTACTTTTTAGTGACTATTTTTTTTCTACTTCTTATCACAAAATCATATGAAAGGATTGTTAGTGAGAATAATATCAGCCTGAATATAAAACCTCCTTTTCCCCCCAAAACTCGTTGTTGAAGTGGGTGGGAAGGGGGGGCTTTTTTCTCCCCTTGAATTTGGGCTCTCTTAAAACATTGAGTCCCAGGGGGGGTAGTAAACATGGGTTATTGTGACCACAAGTGTGGTCACTTGGGACTCAACGTGTTAAGTAGGGGTGTCTTTTATTCGGGCTAATATGGTTACTTGGTAAATTTTCTCTGTAAACGAAACCTTTTTCAAGACAAAGATTTTAATCTAACTGCATAACTTGATATTATATGTATACCATGTGGTCAAAGTACTTTTGAATCTATTTTGAGGCAGTCAATATACATGCACACATACATTCATTCATACATATAACCGCTTTTTATTGAAGGTAAGCACCCTTTTACTTCTATGAATACTGATTCTCTTCCTCACCTATCCATTTGGTATGGGCATGGTATGTGCATGATACTTGTGCGTATCTATAATATGGCTTTGATTTATTCTTGCTTGCTTCGCATGTATAATTTTATCGTGCATGCATGATCTGAAGTGCTGTTTTTCCCAATGTTTAAGTAATGCTACTTATCTATAAAGAGTAAACATGTTGTGTTAAATTTTTAAAAATTTACAGAATAATTGTTATTTGCATAGACCAAAACATACTGTGTTGTGCTTTTTCAGGCCCACCAGATCCAATAACAGGAAATTGGGAGAACTTTGTGGCAATCATCTGTACAGTTTTTGCCCTTCTAGTGGTGGTACTTGCCCTTATTTTTTTCACTGTGAGGAAACATCGTCATCAACGGCTGCGCCCTCATTACAATTGTGATGACAGCACTGAAGCTCCTGATCACCCTATTTTGGGAGGCGTTTCACTGAAATCTATGATTGAAATGACTACAAGTGGCTCGGGTTCAGGTGTGTTTTTTATATTTGTTGAAACAATATTTTGGATCTGTTTAACCTTTATTTGTTGACTGTTGTTAATGAATGTCCTGATTATGTGTAGGCTTACCATTGTTGGTACAACGGAGTATTGCTCGCCAAATACAGCTGGCTGACAGCATTGGCAAGGGTCGGTTTGGTGAGGTTTGGCGCGGTCGGTGGCGAGGAGAAAATGTTGCTGTAAAGATCTTTTCTTCTCGGGAAGAACGATCCTGGTTCCGTGAAGCAGAAATCTATCAAACTGTTATGTTGCGACATGACAACATCTTGGGATTTATTGCTGCTGACAACAAAGGTAAATTTTTTTAATGTTCACTTGACAATGGCAACAGTAACTATGCACTCTACTTACAATGTTGCTACATTATTTCTCTCTAGACAATGGGACATGGACACAACTGTGGCTTATCACGGATTATCATGAGTATGGATCTCTCTTTGATTATCTGTATCGCAACACAGTGGATGTTGCTGGAATGATACGTATGGCTCTTTCAATTGCTACAGGCCTTGCTCACCTGCATATGGAAATTGTAGGCACTCAGGGTAAGATCAAATTTTATTTAGTTTTCAAGCTGCCTTTCTCAAGTAAATGGTCTGTTTATATAAAGTTTAACTTGTTTCAAAAATCTTTTTCATTTTATAGGTAAACCAGCTATTGCACATCGAGATTTGAAGTCCAAGAATATACTTGTGAAAATTAATGGCACTTGTGCCATAGGAGATTTGGGTCTTGCAGTTAGATATGATGTAGCGACTGACAGAGTAGACATACCGTTAAACAACAGGGTTGGCACCAAGCGATATATGGCACCAGAAGTTTTGGATGATACCATTAACATGAACCATTTTGATTCATTCAAAAGAGCTGATGTTTATGCCATGGGACTCGTTTTTTGGGAAATAGCACGCAGATGCAATGTTGGTGGTATTTATGATGAGTACCAGTTGCCTTTTTATGATATGGTTCCCTCAGACCCAACAATTGAAGAAATGCGGAAAGTTGTCTGCCTCGATGGTCAACGTCCATCAATTCCTAATAGGTGGCAGGCGTGTGAGGTTTGTAGACTCCCTCCTTTTCTTTCTATCCAAATGGACATGGCAGTTTACCTTCCTTCTTCTGTATTTACCATCTAAATTAATGTGCATTTTTACTTACAGGCTTTGTCTGGAATGTCTAAGGTTATGAAAGAATGTTGGTATCAGAGTGCTGCTGCTCGCTTGACTGCTCTGCGAGTGAAGAAGACTTTAAGTAACTTCAATGTTCCAGTAAACAATATAATCTAGGTATCATAAGCTTGCAGTCCTTATATTTTAGGACTATATTTGAGTTACCACATTTGTAATGATAAGACTACAATACTGACTACAGTTGTATTGACAATTATGTGGACAACAAGAGCTCAGACTAAATCTAAAAAGAAACATGGACCATTTTAAGAAAAGGAAAGGGGGTATTTTGCTGTTACTCATTTGATTTGAGTAAACTTTGATACTTCTCTTAGTTTGTTTTGTTGATGTAATCAACTTTAATTGATTTTCACTAGCCGCCATTATTTTAAGAAGGTCTGAGTATTTGTGAACCCAAGTCCTTAAAATGATTTCACCAATACTTAAGATTTTCCCTTAAAATTGATGTCTTTATGGTCACTTTTTCATGGAATATTTTCAGCATGTTGGTGTTAACCATATTGGTTTTGCTTTTACAGCATACCATGAATTACAGAGGGGTTGTGTGTGTGTGGATGATGATGTGTTTTATGTTTTGTTTTTTTCTCCATCACATCTGAAATATACATAGGTTTAGATCTCTTTACCAGGCAATGTAAAAATTTCTTTTGATTTGTTGGATTTACAAAAAATCAACTCTAGTAAATCTCTCCAGTTCTGATAAATCCAGAAAATCTATAAAACTTACTTTCTTACTCGCATTGGAAACTTGCACAACCCTTTCTCTTAAAGAAGATAATGTACAACTTCAAAGCTTATTGGATAAAAATTTATCCATTAAGTAAATTTACCATTGAATTTGTGTATAATTTGTGATAGTACTTTAAGGCACCTAAAGTTTTATAACTGTATGATTATGGTAAGTAAACACTGATTTGTAATATGTAAGTCACTTAATTTTTTAAACCATGTTATGTTACTGGCACAAGTTTAGGATCGTGTAAAAATGAAAAAAAATTCTTCACAGCAGAGTTACAAATTCAGTGTAACTTTTGTATCTTATAGGCATGTAAGTAAGCCAAATATTTGCAGATGAAACTGTTTCTATCCCAGACTCTTGTGTAAACTCCTTCCTTTTTATATGATTGCTTATTTTAATTTGTGGTTTGAAAATTTTGTAGACAACCTGAAAATATCTAGGGCAGCTTGTGTGACACTAAGGTCATCCAATGCACATGTGCTGCTTGCAAATTTGGTTCATTTGAGAAACTTTTGCCTGTTTTAATAGTATTGTAAAAATCTATTTTTTCAGATTTTTGTCTGCTTCTTAGTCAGTGTCTTTTAATCTATATCCTAGATTGTTTTAATGAACAAAGTTAGTGAAAGGTAAACACTTTTGTAAATTGATGTGGTTGTAAGTCGATGTTGATATATATTCTTGGTTATTAATTGATAGTGTAAGAAAGTTATTGATATCTTTGACTTATAAAGTATTAGCATTGGTAAAGGTAAAAGTCCATTTTTCTATCGCCGCACATGGGCTTATGTCCTGTAAGACAAGTGCTTTCTTACACTTAAAATTTGTTCAATTCCTTTACCAATATACAATTTGTATGTTGCACATGGTTGAAAGTGTTACGTAGTTTTTGTAGTTTTTAAAGACTTTGTGAACTGAGTGGACTATTTCATATAATTGGATTAGTAAGAAGGGTGTACTATTCGTTCACAGACATGACTGAATATCAATCTACATTTAAGACTTAACTGCCAACCATATCCTACAATATAAATGGCAAAGCGCTCAAGCCACATGGGAAACTAACTTCCTCAAGCTATTTGTTTGATGCATGGCACAATTATTTCTCTTCTTTACTTGAGGAGTCTACATCCTTCCTTATGAATTGGTTTGCTTTGGATATACTGTATGTCTGTAGTTATATATGAACAATCGACCTCCTTCATTCATATGGCTTTTACAAATCTAGATATGTGTTTGGGTCCCATGTAACTTTAAAGGTTTGTTCAAGTCTCAAAATATTCCTCATCTTCATCTGAACATCATTGTGTCATTACATCACTCATCATTTATGCCTTCTTGATTGATCGTTTTGTAAGCATAAGACCTGTAATTTTTATTGTTATGACTGTAAATAAATTTGTTAAATTAAGAAAGTAACATTTTTCTGTTCCAAAATATTGTATTAAGGTGGTGCTTTTATATGCTTGGGTATCATAGAGTAGCCCATGCTTTCCGTTGTTGTGCTTAGTGTTGAAAACTAATATGTGTCTGAAGACTAAGAAGTTGTGACAAGGTGGTTAGTGTGCATTATCTTTGAAGAAATATTACAATCTAAAGTTGGTAAAGATAACAGAACTGATGGCCAATGTGGCTGAGGTTTTACGGGCTGTTCCTTTGGCCTTGTCATTTATCTTATTGTTAAAATTTGAAGCTGCTTAAATGTTTTTATAGAAATCTTTGAATGTTAAAAGTGTTTTATTTGTATTTTAATGTTTTGCGTGCTTGTGAGTGTTTTGGAGAGTGTTATTTAAATATGCTGGCTGCTTACATTTCTAGAGGACCACCCTTTCTAGGGATGAGATAAACTCAATTTTTAACCCGTTGGTGGAAGTATTTGGATTATATTGGGATCAGGAAAGCTGTCTCCCTTGTCAAGGTATGGGATATTTAGAGTTGTGTGATTTTACAATGAATTCACTTTAATTATCTAAAGGATTTGTATTGTTCTCAATAATGTTTCCCATGATTGCATTGCTCTCTCTTTCTCTGCTGACCACTCAATGAACTAAAGTTAGCCTGAAGTCCAGATCCATTTTTTTTCCATTGTAGACTTTTTGTTCTGACTCAGATCATGTTTCTTTATTCTTCATGTCCATAGCTACAGAACTCTGTACCTTAATTCATAGATATGCAAACTTATAAATGTCTGCCAAGTTTAAAATAAACAAACAGAATCAGAAAACTTCAGTAGTTTTTTCACTAGGTATAACTCTTTTTCTCCAATGGCTGTACACACCAGAGCTTTAAAAAAAAAAATAGATACAGTATGAGCCATGAGCTGACAAATGGGCTGCCTCAAGCAAATTGGTTAAAAGAAAACTCTCTTGCATTTGTGCAGTATTTTGCATTATAGTGAAGAAAAATAGAGTTTAAGGCAATATACTTGTAGGTTGCCTTCTTTCAGGGTTTTTGTAGATCGAATTGCCAACTCACCAGGCGGCTTCTTAAGAGCTGGATTGTATAAAGGCAATCAGTACGACAGTTGTTTCACGTCCCTGTTTGTAGCTACACGATTGCAGCTAAAACTGACAGAGCCCGTGTCAGCTTAGACTGAACCATTTAAAGGCGAATTCATTTCTTCAGATAATGCTCTAGAATATCAACCAGAAGTAAACAGCGCTAAGAACTAAAGCGAAAAGAAAGATATCAATGCCTCTCCGAAGCTCTCGCCTTGTCCAAGCGCTCGGAGGGAGCCGCGGGGACACGATTCAGGAAAGGGTTGCCTACCCTCCAGGCGTTGTGCTACCAGCTTGCTCCTCCGGGGCCCAGGTGTGAGCTGAGACCTCGGCCCCGTAAGAGCAAGCTGGTAGCCGAGCGTGTTAAAGCGTGATCGTTGGCAGATCGTGCGGGTGGTCGCTAGATCGAATCCCGTCCGCGGTCATTTTTCCCTGCTCTGCTGGCCAAGTGTCTTCGGGCGTCGGTCACAGCTTAGATCAAGATGCCGCTGAAAGTAGAACTCTGTATCGTTCCGTCGTGGCCAAGTCGGTAGCGTCCCGGTCCGGTATGGACCTGGTCACTGGTTCGAATCTCGGCCGGGTGATCATTTTCGCCCTCCGCTGGCCATGACTTTTCAGCCGTGCGACACCTGATGTGATGGGCCGCTACGCAAACAGTCGCTGGTTCGAATCTAGTCGACGGAACCCTTTTCCCTGTGCCAGCCATATGTTTCGGGGTGAGAGCCACACCGGAGACAAGCTTCACCTATGCAACGCACTCATCATTGGCTCAGTTGGTAGGGCGCGCGCTCGGAACGCGGATGGTTGCCGGTTCGAATATTCTCCGAGGTTCAATTTTTCCTATTTAGTAGTTTGCGGCGCGGGGCGCGGGGACCAAGGGTTAAGACAAGAGACTAGCCGACATGGGGAGGAGGTCTTGACCGCCCACTCAGCAGCCCCCCCCCCTCCCCCTGCCAAAAAACAACAAGAAAATATTCGCCCAGACCAGGACTCGACCCTTGGACTGAGGGTGTCTTGTGCACCAAACCCTAGCGCGCTCGCCGCTCGGCTGCCGGCTCCACATGTCAGCGGAAAGTTCAAACCTCGGTCACCTGCTTCACGAGTCTTGGTCTCCCGTATTGCACGCGTTCAGGTCGGGTCAAGTCCACCTCCTCGACGCGCTGCAGCCCGGGTCGGCTCTTGGCCCGAAACACGGAAACTGGCCACTAAAAGAGCCCCTTGGGCGCGCGGGGGTTAGGTTAGGCCCATTTATGTGACTTTTTCCGTGTTTTTGGCCAGAATTCGACCCGGGCTGCAGCGCGTCGAGGAGGTGGACTTGAGAGAGGCCCTGCACGCGTGCAATACGGGAGACCAAAGACCCGTAAAGCGGGACCGAGTTCTGACCTGTCAGTGGCGAGGAGCAGCTGACAGCCGAGTGGCGAGCGCGCTGGTGGGTGGCCCGGACACCAGCGGCCTGGGGATCGAATCCCCTTGATTCATTTAAGTTTTTCTTTAAAGAGAATTGACACTCCCGACACAACGTCGGTGTGAATCCGACTAGGTCTGCAGCAAAGTAAGGAGGTCAACTTCACCTCCTACACAGCAGGTCCCGAAAAAAGGCTCCCCCCCCCAACGGGATTCGATCCCTAGACGGACGGTGTCCGGGCCACAAGTCAGCGCGCTCGCCACTCGGCTATCGGCTCCACTTGTCAGCGGAGGGCTCAGAACTCGGTCCCGCCTCACCGGTCTTGGTGTCCCGCATTGCACGCGTGCAGGGCCTCTCAAGTCCACCTCCTCGACGCGCTGCAGCCCGGGTCGAAATTCTTGCAAAAAGGCAAATAAATGTACTCTCTGCTAGCCTAACCTAACCTCCTCG